TACTACTTATTTTTCTTCATGTTAATATTAAATTGAGTATTCTGCTCTTCATCTATGATATCTAAATCGGAGTTTGTAACATACATGTGCCCTATTATACATAATTCATTAAAAGTCTATATATACAGGATACTTGGGATAAATAGATGAGGTTAAAATAATATCAGTTCTTCATATACATTTTTTTCATACGGGCCTTCGTTAATAAGTTACTGGCTCTCAAAGCTGAAAATGAAAAAGTTATTTTTATTTACAGTCTCTCAACTATTAACTTCAGCATGATGCAAATTTGGTGATCGATAATACAAGCGTACAGCTTGTTTTTAATGTAAGTGAAACTTCATTATGTCCAGAACGCCAGGGATGGACTATGCCCAATGGTTAACAACCCAGAATTTTTACATGAATGACGATCGCAATCTACCTGTATCAAAAATAAGTTCCCTGAAGAATTTGCCAACGATAATAGCCTCTTGGTTCAACTCAAAATTAACAGGAAATATTTGTGATTTTATGTCACAGTGCACATCGAGCGGCGCCTCCACCATTTTTTATTTTTAAAATATGAAAAAAGAAATTCAATCAAAAAAATGTCGGCCGAGAAAATTTCACTTTCATTCCTGTTTATCTTCACTTCAACAAAATTTTGCTAAACATATTTTGAAATATCCTGAAAGTAATAAATACGTTTTAACCAACAATGAATAAAAAGCATTATTTCTTCTGAATTTCTTTAATTATGCATAACAGGGATTAGTTTATTGCCTCATAAAAAGTGACCTCAACTGAGCATAAATGGGTGTCAAGTTCCATGTAATATAACCGTCTGGGGCGCCAGAATACTTTGTCTTTCCTTCAATTAATAGTTTATTACCATTAAAACATCTGGCGCTGTAATTTTTGGGCCAAATGTTGCAGACAAAATGAGTTGTATGTAATTAATCATCTCCCGAATTAAAAGAGAGGATTGTACTTAATTAACAATTAATATCTCATCAAAATCCTGCCAGATTATTTTTCCCACGTTATTAAGATTTTTCAAAATTTATTAATCCGTTTCGTTAAACCTAATTTCTCACTCTCTCCCGTTAATTATATTACGCCCATTACTTTTAGCTTAGTCAATAAATTAAGTACCTCCAGAGTTATTTATTTATTTGTTGCATATAAACTGCAGATCAAAAGTACACAGTAAAGGTATTTTACTTATTACAAACTACGTTTTCAGGATAATCGCAAGTAAGTTTCTGTTCGTTCCAAAGAAGGTCTAGAGGACAGGTTCCAGAAATCTCTTTTCCATAAAGACACTCGTAGAATTTACTGCAGTCGCTTGGGTCAGAGAGGAAGGTTCCGTCTGGCATGTTTGCACATAAGTTTGCTGAAAAATATTTAAGTTGATCATAAACAAAGGAAAATTGGTAGGAAAGCATGATGAAGCGAGTTTTCTGTTCATAGCATTCGAAGGGAAGAACCGAACATACTTTGTAATTGTGAAAAAGTCTCACGAAATCAATTCCAGACTTTTATGGTCATCCTATGAATCTAACTTGCCATCTAACAGTTAAAATACAAAATATAGCTCATGTTTGACAAAATTTTACAAAACACTTTTCTTACCCGGAGTTGTAGTGGAACCTGGTGATGTAGTTGTTCCGGGAGAAGGCGGCTCATTGGTAGTAACATCTAAATTAGGCAAAATTTAATCATTAATTCAATTTAATGTTTACTTTTATGTGTTCTGGGGGTTTTACTGTCTTCCTAGTTATTTTTGAGTTATTAAATTCCTATAAACTTCTTTATTCAGTTAATTCTAGTATTACTTACAAGGTCCTGTTGTGGTTTCTATCGTTACTGGAGTTGTAGTGGTTGAAGCTGAAACAGATATTATCATTGTTTTACATTAAGTTTCCCTGTTTTATTGTACAGTTTGAAAATGCTGATGACCCAAGTGGAAGTAGATCAGTTTATTTCTATTTTTTATAAATCCCCTTTTCAATTATTTATCTTACATTAGCGGTTACTCTCAAGACTTCAGGGAGTCCATTAAGAACTGTGAATATTTGAGCAGAGTGATAATTTCAAGGCAACGGCTCTTTTAAATGTTAATAAAGAGAGACACAATGCCTTAGAAACATCCCTTAAACGACTAAATATGAAGCCCCTTTAATAATTCTTTCTCTAANTGACTAAAAAGTTTATTTTGCCTAGTATGGTACTAGCTATTCTCTACAGGTCTGTAGATCGCTCTCTGCCAGTGTACAGGTGCTATGTACAACTATCACATTATGTCAGCAGCAGCATTGACAAATAAAAACAGATATAGTTTGTAGGTTATATCTCACTCGCAGATTATGTACATATAACAGAGAGCAATACTACTATTAGCTGGTAATTCTCAAACTAAAAATATCTAAATAAGTGACTTTTTCATAATCATCTACAGGATACTGTTAAATTCAATGAAAGATTATGTTGTGTACCACATTAAAATTTTATATAAATTTACCTATATACAACAATTTTGTATGAACATCTCAAACCAAAATCATTACACTCCCATGATAAAAATTTATGTCAAC